ACAGTAGAGAACAGTCTGAGACAGGGTGGTGTAGGTGTTACAGTAGAGAACAGTCTGAGACAGGGTGGTGTGGGTGTTACAGTAGAGAACAGTCTGAGACAGGGTGGTGTGGGTGTTACAGTAGAGAACAGTCTGAGACAGGGTGGTGTAGGTGTTACAGTAGAGAACAGTCTGAGACAGGGTGGGTGTGGGTGTTACAGTAGAGAACAGTCTGAGACAGGGTGGTGTGGGTGTTACAGTAGAGAACAGTCTGAGACAGGGTGGTGTAGGTGTTACAGTAGAGAACAGTCTGAGACAGGGTGGTGTAGGTGTTACAGTAGAGAACAGTCTGAGACAGGGTGGTGTAGGTGTTACAGTAGAGAACAGTCTGAGACAGGGTGGTGTAGGTGTTACAGTAGAGAACAGTCTGAGACAGGGTGGTGTAGGTGTTACAGTAGAGAACAGTCTGAGACAGGGTGGTGTGGGTGTTACAGTAGAGAACAGTCTGAGACAGGGTGGTGTGGGTGTTACAGTAGAGAACAGTCTGAGACAGGGTGGTGTAGGTGTTACAGTAGAGAACAGTCTGAGACAGGGTGGTGTGGGTGTTACAGTAGAGAACAGTCTGAGACAGGGTGGTGTGGGTGTTACAGTAGAGAACAGTCTGAGACAGGGTGGTGTGGGTGTTACAGTAGAGAACAGTCTGAGACAGGGTGGTGGGGGTGTTACAGTAGAGAACAGTCTGAGACAGGGTGGTGTGGGTGTTACAGTAGAGAACAGTCTGAGACAGGGTGGTGTGGGTGTTACAGTAGAGAACAGTCTGAGACAGGGTGGTGTGGGTGTTACAGTAGAGAACAGTCTGAGACAGGGTGGTGTGGGTGTTTACAGTAGAGAACAGTCTGAGACAGGGTGGTGTGGGTGTTACAGTAGAGACAGTCTGAGACAGGGTGGTGGGGTTTACAGTAGAGAACATCTGAGACAGGGTGGTGTGGGTGTACAGTAGAGAACAGTCTGAGACAGGGTGGTGTGGGTGTTACAGTAGAGAACAGTCTGAGACAGGGTGGTGTGGGTGTTACCAGTAATGAACCAGTTGAGAAGTGTGGTATGTGGGTATAGCTTCCAGCTTACAAACAGGCAGTATCAATGAAGCCTCATTGGAAAGCTGTGGTATAGCTATGGGCTATAGCTTCTACTCAACAACAAGAGAAACAGTGTAATCCAGGTGAGCCAAGATTGAACAGACATGGTGGTATGTGCATAGGCATGAGATCAGACAGACAGCAGACAGACAGACAGACAGACGGGACAGACAGGCAGGCAGGCAGGCAGACAGACAGAAGGCAGCAGGCAGACAGGACAGCAGAGCAGACAGGCAGACAGCAGACAACAGACAGACAGACAGACAGACAGACAGACAGACAGACAGACAGACAGACAGACAGACAGACAGACAGACAGACAGACAGGCAGGCAGGCAGGCAGGCAGGCAGGCAGGCAGGCAGACAGACAGACAGACAGACAGACAGACAGACAGACAGACAGACAGACAGACAGACAGACAGACAGACAGACAGACAGACAGACAAACAGACAGACAGGCAGGCAGGCAGACAGACAGACAGACAGACAGGCAGGCAGGCAGGCAGGCAGACAGACAGACAGACAGACAGACAGACAGACAGACAGACAGACAGACAGACAGACAGACAGACAGACAGACAGACAGACAGACAGACAGACAGACAGACAGACAGACAGACAGACAGACAGACAGACAGACAGACAGACAGACAGACAGGCAGGCAGACACAGACACAGACACAGACACAGACACACACGCTAGAGCTGGGACGATAAACTGAAAATGATCGACACCGACCATACCGATGATTTTCTGAAATCGTTCATTATGAAAAGTAGCCATAACACTGATAAAACAAAAAGACTCAAAACACCATCACTGTGTATTGAAACCATGAAAAGTAGTGCACCTAAGCTGAGATCTGGTGTTTGGAGGGTGTTTGAATGTAAACCCAATGTAAGTGTTTTACAACAGAATGGAAGTGCGCTGAAACACCCAAAGTTGTTCTTCAATCCAGCCTGGTCTCGTAGACTAGGCTTAACATATCAATATTAATCCAGGACACTAAATTAGTCTGATATGTTACGTTTGATATGATACATATGACAGAAGGTTACTTAAGGCAAAAACCAAAGGAGTGTGGTTGTATAACGCAACCCAAAGGTTGTGTGTTCAAATCTCATCACGGACAACTCAGCTAATTAGCAACTTTTCAACTACTTGCTACTTTGCAACTACTTAGCATGTTAGCTTACCCTAACCTTATCCCTTTAGCTAACCCTAGCCTTAACCCTTTTAGCCAACCCTTCCCCTAACCCTAACCTTAACCCCTAGCCTAGCTAACGTTAGCCAGCTAGCTAACATTGGTGTTAGCCACCTAGCCACCTAGTTAACGTTAGCCACAACATATTGGAATTCATAACATATCATACAAAATGGATGATGGACATCCACAAATTAATACATAGCATATGAAACATAACAGGTCATACTAAATGGAGTGTTATGGATTTACATACAGAAAAATACGAAATGCTCTGAGACCAGGTTGTTCAATCTGAATAAAAATGTTTTTAAAGAGTGTTGTGAAAACACTTTTTGAGGTTTCAGTACATGTGAAAGGCAGCATTAAAACAGATTTTTTTTTTTTGCAGACTGTCTTTCTAATACTGTCTTTCTAGATTTTTCCCAGACCTCAAAAGTGGTTTCCTGATATGGTTAACCATGTTGTTGTTTTTCTATTAAAAAGTATGATTATGAGAGCAAAAACATGAACATTTTGGGAAGAAACTAAACGGAATTTAAGGAAAGGTGAGACTCTCACGAACACGTACATGTCGGTTTTTCTCTAGGGAGCCAACAGGCCTCACAAGACCCGTCTTAAAGTCCCCCGGTACCAGTTGAAACAATGAATGGAAGTACATATGGAGACTGTTTATTGCCAAAAAATAAGGGGTTAAATACATGTAAAACATTTTCAAATAATCATGTTTCCTGATCTTACTTAGGACAGACACTTCAGAACAAACTTCCTTTAGATTTTCTAAGGGGACTATCTGTTGTTCCATGTAGTGAATCCACAGGAGGCTGGTGGCACCTTAATTGGGGAGGACGGGCTCGTGGTAACGGCTGGAGGCGAATCAGTGGAATGGAATGAAATACATCAAACACATGGTTTCCATGGATTCCAGGTGTTTGACTCCATTCCATTGACTCCGTTCCAGACGTTATTATGAGCCGTCCTCCCGTCAGCAGCCCCCACTGAGTGAATCTGTTATTCAAGGTGTTTATATGGACTAATAGCACTAAGGTCAAATAAAATGTTTAATCAAATAATTAATTTATATTTCTTTGGGGATACTTCAAGGGGTCTTAAAATTCCAAATCAAATAGCAAAATTATCCTTGGTATGACCTTCTTAAAGCAATTCCATATAGCTTAGTAGAACACCCCCCCACCTCCCCACCCCCCACCCCCTCACCCCCTCACCCGGCTTAGATAGGGCTTAGACTCTTATTTAAAGGCTAAATGTGAACTTCGAACATTGTGCTGGCGTACTGTTCAAATTTCCTACAGTCTGGGGCATGGTCAAGTGTAAAAACAGGCAAGTTTTGCTGGTGCCTCCCCTCTCTTCAGGGCCTTCACGAACTCAGACCGGTGAGGGCACACCAAACGCTCAGGTAAAACTCAGCAAAACAATCCAAGTAAAGTCTACATCAATGAAAAACGCGAGCAATAAACGTTATCACATTGAAGAAGGAAACAGAAAAAAGAACACGTGTTTTGCGTAGCATTTCGGACGCTAATGGCAGCTGTGCCAATAGTCCAAGTCAAGCAGCCATTTTGATTCATTGATAATGTGCCAACAGCCCAAGTCAAGCAGCCATTTTGATTCATTGATAATGTGCCTATAGTCCAAGTCAAGCAGCCATTTTGTTTCTTAATGCTATGTCATTGTTTGCACCATTCTTGGTTTTATGCAAATGAAGGCCTGCTTTTTTAGTTAATGCTACTGGCTTGTCTGCCTGCTAGCTTTATCAACTTTATTTATTGTTTGATACACATGCTGCTACACCAAATAGCCACTGCTAGTCTGCTCTAGTTTTGGCCTTCCATAACACATTACATCCCACTTTTTTGACATTCATGTCGCTATCTGGTTGCTACATTTGCATAACTTTATTCATGTATATGGATTTTGCATATTGCTATTGATATGTTTAATAACGGTATATTACATTTTACATTTTAGTCATTTAGCATATGTATTATTATTATACTAGGTAGCTCTTGGGAGAAATGTTATTAATACTTTTCATAATTTCATAATTAAGAAACATTATTTCAAAAAAGTTGCCGAAAGCCCGGTGTTTCTGTGTCTAAACGGTTTTGTTATATTTCAGTCTTCTGTGATGTATATAAAGAGAGTAATATTGGGATGCAAACTCAACATTGAATACATTTCAACTCTATACCTGACATGGTGAAGGTGTCTTCTTTTTTAAAAACCCATAACCATGTGTTTGAGGCGTATACTTTTGTTTCAAAGTAAATGTGTTTCAGACTACCATGACACATTCTGGCTGACCCTGATAACTAGTTATGCATTGTGATGCTATTTCTCTATCTCCCTGCAGAAAGTCATACCGGCTGGTCAATCCTAACCACAGCCAATCAAGAACAGGATCACAGACTAATTGCCAACTGAACTGTCAACTGTCAATCGTATAATATAAGTCAACTGTAATGTGATACAATTCATCTGAACAACCTTCCATGCCATGTACCATCATCTGAATATAAAGACTCAGGTCAGAAAGGTAGTCTATACATATGTGTAAAGACTCAACACCAAATAAACGACTCATCTTCAACCTCAAATCACTTTTACTGTACGGGGCAGAAACATGGAGAACTACAAAAGTAACAAGCCATTCAAACTTTAACAAACACATCCTGGGAATATAGCGGCAAACACCATAAGAAACAAAGGGCTCTGAGAAATGACACAACAAGAACAAATCCAAATAAAATGCAGGAAATAGGGCTGGATTGGGCACACCTTGAGGAAACAACCCACAAACACAACCAGACAGGCTCTAACCTGGAACCCCCAGGGAAGAACGAAACTGGGAAGACCCAGGAAAAGATGGCCTGTGGAGGTAGAACCCAGGAACAGCTGTTCTGCGGAGGCTGAACCCAGGAACAGCTGGCCTGTGGAGGCAGAACCCAGGAATAGCTGGCCTGTGGAGGCAGAACCCAGGAACAGCTGGTCTGTGGAGGCAGAACCCAGGAACAGCTGGCCTGTGGAGGCAGAACCCAGGAACAGCTGGCCTGTGGAGGCAGAACCCAGGAACAGCTGGTCTGTGGAGGCAGAACCCAGGAACAGCTGGTATGTGGAGAAAGAACCCATGAACAGCTGGCCTGTGGAGGCAGAACCCAGGAACAGCTGGCCTGTGGAGGCAGAACCCAGGAACAGCTGGTCTGTGGAGGCAGAACCCAGGAACAGCTGGCCTGTGGAGGCAGAACCCAGGAACAGCTGGCCTGTGGAGGCAGAACCCAGGAACAGCTTGTCTGTGGAGGCAGAACCCAGGAACAGCTGGTATGTGGAGAAAGAACCCATGAACAGCTGGCCTGTGGAGGCAGAACCCAGGAACAGCTGGCCTGTGGAGGCAGAACCCAGGAACAGCTGGTCTGTAGAGGCAGAACCCAGGAACAGCTGGCCTGTGGAGGCAGAACCCAGGAACAGCTGGTCTGTGGTGGCAGAACCCAGGAACAGCTGGCCTGTGGAGGCAGAACCCAGGAACAGCTGGTCTGTGGAGGCAGAACCCAGGAACAGCTGGCCTGTGGAGGCAGAACCCAGGAACAGCTGGTCTGTGGTGGCAGAACCCAGGAACAGTTGGTCTGTGGAGGCAGAACCCAGGAACAGCTGGTCTGTGGAGGCAGAACCCAGAAACAGCTGGTCTGTGGAGGCAGAACCCAGGAACAGCTGGTCTGTGGAGGCAGAACTAAAAGAAACAGGAACATCCTGGAACCTGTTGAAAGAAGTTTGTGAATGACCTATGCTCCCCAAGGAACAAAACGGTTTAAGTCAAACTCTGCATCTGTCTTCTCTAACCAGTCCAACAGTGGTTTTTCACCAGTCCCAAACAACTCATACTTGACACATATACTGTAGTACACTCAGAGGGTATTCACAACCCTGCCCAACTCTGGTTACTACACTCAGAGGGTATTCACAACCCTGCCCAACTCTGGTTAGTACACTCAGAGGGTATTCACATCCCTGTCCAACTCTGGTTACTACACTCAGAAGGTATTCACAACCCTGTCCAACTCTGGTTACTACACTCAGAAGGTATTCACAACCCTGTCCAACTCTGGTTACTACACTCAGAAGGTATTCACAACCCTGCCCAACTCTGTTTAGAGTCCTGTCCAAGTGCATCAATCTATTCACACCACAGAGTCCTGTCCAAGTGCATCAATCTAGTCACACCACAGAGTCCTGTCCAAGTGCATCAATCTAGTCACACCACAGAGTCCTGTCCAAGTGCATCAATCTAGTCACACCACAGAGTCCTGTATTATGCCTCTGTTTGTCATGTTTTAACCAGAACAACTCAGCCTCAGTCGCTGTGATGTAAGAAGCCTGCTGAGTGCTCCTCTCTCTCTCTCTCTCGCTCTCTCTCTCTCTCACTCTCTCTCTCTCTCTCTCTCTCTCTCTCTCTCTCTCTCTCTCTCTCTCTCTCTCTCTCTCTCTCTCTCTCTCTCTCCTCTCTCTCTCCTCTCGTCTCTCTCTCTCTCTCTCTCTCTCTCTCTCCTCTCTCTCCCCTCTCTCTCCTCTCTCCTCTCTCTCTCGCGCTCTCTCTCTGTGCATGTGCCAGAGTCAGACATTAATGCACATCACATGTACAGTATGCCATTACTCTTCTACCCACAATGATGATGTTTCCTGTTTGGTTACTAATCCATCGATGCCCCACATATACCATAAACCTGCCTCAAGTAGAACCGGGAACTAAGAATGTAGAACCTCTATTCCACCTTCCCTGTGAGCATCTGACCAGCAGTCAGTGTTTGCTGAGCATGGTGGTTCTATCCTAACTAGCTACTAGCTACTAGCTCAGAGTCACTCTGTCCTGACTAGCTACTAGCTACTAGCTACTAGCACAGAGTCACTCTGTCCTAACTAGCTACTAGCTCAGAGTCACTCTGTCCTGACTAGCTACTAGCTCAGAGTCACAGAGAGGCACTTTGCATTATTATTGCTCTCTGTGTCAAAGTTTTTAATTATATTTTTGGCAGCTAAGGCTTAGGACGGATCTCATTAAATTGAGTTTTATTTGGTTGCCTGAAAGACAGCTTAGCGTCACTCTCTCCTCTTGTGATGGACATAATATGTCTTATGCTTTTTAATCCCCTGATTTTAAATTCATTTTCCAAACCTGCACATAAATCACCAGAAAGACATCCTTCAGAAATGGGTAATAATAGTAGATGTCACTGCCAAGCTGGATTTCTCTCCCCACCAACCAAGAGAGGGGTGGAGAGGAACACAACCCTGAGTGGAGAGGAAGGAACACACCTAAGGAGGAGGAGAGGCACACCAACGTTAGGAGAGGATCAACCAGAGGAGGAGTAGAGGAGAGGAACACAACCAGAGGAGGAGTGGAGAGAGAGGATCACAACCAAGAGGAGTGGAGAGGAGAGGAACACAACCAGAGATTATGTAGGAACACAGTAGGAGAGGAGGAGAGAAACACC